AATGTTTCTACCTTTTTCCTTACACAAAACTTCAAGCATGGTAGTCCTGCAGAGATACAAGTATTGTGGCAATCCTGAAAAGCTCACTGCTTATTTTGGAGTTGTGCCATCAGTTTCCCAATCCAATCAGCAATGTACTATTGGAAAAATTACCAAACATGGACAAAAATGGCACGTACTTCTTTAGTGTAGTGTACCTGGGTTGCTATACGTTATAGTCCTTACCTGAGAAGTTTTTACGAGCATGTGAAAAAGAAGCGCGGTTCTGCTAAGGCTATTATTGCTACTGCCAGGAAGTTCCTTACAACTATTTTCTATACACTTAAAAAGAACTGGATTTTTGAAGATTTTACGAAATTTGAATTTTGTACTGGACAGTAATCATAGGAGTTACTACTGCCCTCCTACTACTACTTGCTATGCAACAAAGCCACTGTTGTAATTATAGTATATTTAAGTATAATTAACTATAGTGTATCAACAGGCATATGGAGAAGTAGTATGGATCTAAAAAAAAATCTAGTATTATTGAATTCAGTGATTTTATATTTCAAACAAGGTGATAGAGAAAGTGCAAAAAGAGAAGTAGAAAGTCTTGCAAGAAATAATAAATGGGAACTTAAAGACGTATATGGCTGCTTGTTATGTCTTGCTGCCTCATACGGTGAGATTGAAGCTGCTGAATTTTGTAGAGACAAAGGAGCAGATCTTGATTATAAAGGCTCTTATGGGAGGACACCGTTATGTCTTGCTTTGTGGTCTAATCATCCACAAATGGCTGAATCTCTTAGAAAATGGGGAGCACGTAAGGACGTTCGTCTTAGTAGTCCTAGCGAAAGAGAGCCTAGTACTTTCGATTACTTAAAACAAGACAGCATACATGGCGGTTTTAGCAAAAAAATGTCATTATATTCGGAAGAGATATTTTTATATGTCAAACAAGGTGACGGAGAAAGTGCAGAGAAACGAGTAGAGAGTCTTGTAAGAAAGAATAAATGGGAGCCTAAAGACGTATATGGTAGAAGTTTAGCTATATCTACCCCTTCTTTACTAACATTCAACACAACTCTCACGGAAGGGTAAACAACATTCCCTTCTCTTTTGCCCTCTTTTATCATTATGGCCCCTATGGTATTATTTTTCATACCTTCAGACATCTCTGATTTAATTTGGTCAGCAATTTTGCCTACAATCTCTTTGCAGTGATACTGAGATTCTCCTTTCTTCGGAGAAAAAGGTTTTTGGTTTGTGGTATTGGTAGAAGGGTTGTTCTGTAATGCAAAGAACTTATTCCATTCTTCATCGCTTTCTAACTCGACATTTTACGCTTATTCTTGTCTGGTGTTGATTTAGGTATATCCTGAGTGCTCAAATCGCTAGAAAGTCCTTTTGTTTCATCAGAATTACCGCTCTCCTTTGCTTTATTACTTAGAAGGGTAAGATGCTCTTCTGGCTTTTTCTTATCCGGTTTTAAAGTTGTATCATCAGAAGGAAGTCCCTCCACCATAGGTAAATGAGGACTTTTAACTTTATCCTTATTGCGAAAAACTGGAATGCTTTCCCAGAGCTTTTTCCAGAGTTCTGTAATCTTGCCTAACATATACCCTCCATTGTTGTTAACACATAATGCTAGCGTACAAGCATTATATCAATTAGTCAACATAAATTATGGCAAAGCTTCTAATGTTGAAAGCTCAAATGCTCCTTTGCTTGATCAGTTAAAACGCGCCCTCTTGGTGTCCGCTTTACAAAACTAATTTTGATTAAATAAGGTTCCACTGTTTCTTCGATATTGCCGGCATCTTCAGATAGCGCAATAGATATAGTGTCAATCCCAACAGGGCCTGAAGTGTTGAGTAAAAATCTTAGATAATGCATATCTAATTTATTTAATCCCATTTTATCTACACCCAATTTTAGCAATACAGAATCAGCGACTTCATAAGTGATTTTTTTATCGTCTTTTACTTCAACAAAATCCCTTATTCTCCTAAGTAATCTCAAAGCAATTCTTGGAGTGCCACGCGCACGGCAGGCAATTTCCTGTGCGGCATTCTCTTCAATTGCAGCAGAAAGAACTCTTGCACCTCTTTTTATAATATTAACCAGCTCCTCAAAAGAATAAAATTCAAGATGCAAAGGGATACCAAAACGATCCCTCAGCGGCGCAGAAAGTAATCCAAGCCGTGTTGTTGCTCCGATTAATGTAAATGGTGGTAGATCTATCCTTAAAGTGCGAGTAGATGGCCCTTCACCTACTAATATGTCCAGGCAAAAATCTTCCATAGCGGTATATAAAACTTCTTCAATGTTGCGATTTAATCTATGGATTTCGTCGATAAATAGGACATCTTTTGCATTTAAAGTGGTAAGCACTGCAGCCAAGTCCCCAGCTTTACTAAGTAAAGGACCAGAAGTTGCGCGGAAGCTGACCCTTAATTCTTTAGAAACAATTTGTGCTAAAGTTGTTTTGCCAAGTCCTGGGGGACCATACAATAAAACGTGATCTAAAGCTTCAGTTCTCGTCTTTGCAGCATTTATAAACACTTTTAAATTTTGTATTAAGTCTTTTTGTCCGACAAAATCATCAAGTTGCTCAGGCCTGATGTTGATATTGCGCGCATCTTCAGCATATTCTTTACTGCATGATATTGATTTCATAATGTTGAGAGCTCCTTAAGCGCCATGCGAATAATATCCTTGGTGTCCAGATTTGACGATTCGTCTTGTATTTTTTTTATCGTATCATAAGCTTTCATTTTTTCATACCCAAGATTGATCAATGCTGAAAGGGCATCTTCATTAATTGGATGAAAATTATTGTTATTTATTTCTAATTTACTCACTTTGCCACTTAATTCAGTGATGATTCGATTTATGAGTTTTTGGCCCAGGCCACTCATCTTGAGTGCTACTTTATCCTCATTCATAATTGCCAAAAACAGCTGTTCTGGAGTTAATTTACTCAAAATTGACATTGCAGTTTTATAGCTAACACCGCTCACTTTAACAAGCAACCTCAAGCACTGCTGTTCTTCTTTGCTTATAAAACCATATAGCTGAGCGACATTTTCTCTGTTATTTGCATAGGTTTCGATAAGTAATTTAACTCTACTTCCGATGGAACATGCATTTAAAGTTTTGGCTGAAAGATACACCATATAGCCAACATCATTCACATTCAGGATTATGTGGTCACTGCGCACTTCATCAACTATTCCGCTTAGATTTCCTATCATTTTTAGCACTGTATAGGGTTCAGTTTAAATACTCCTGGATCTTAGGTCAAGCAAACTGACCTTACCCAGAAAAAGTGGAGAGAAAGTTTGAATATTTTTTTTACGAAAAGAATAAAAAGTTCAGGAAAGCAATAGTTAATAGTAGAAAGTCTACGTTGTTTGTTATAAAAAATTTCTATATATTCAAATATAGCAGTTCTAATATATTGCTTAGAGTGCTTAGAAGTGTCTATTGGTAACTCCCTTTTTAAAGAACTGAAAAAGCTTTCTACAACAGAATTGTCGTAACAACAACCCTTATGACTCATCTATGTTTTTTATGGTTAGGAGATATTGGTAACTTTGTGAAGTATATTGTGAACCTTGATCACTATGTAACATTAGATTTTTGGCAGGTTTACGCTTGTTAACAGCCATACCAATTGCTTATTTATTGAGCTACTCATTAACTATCATACGTGAATATAGATCCTGCCAAATATAGCAATCCCTCCTTGGTTCTTATATAAGTGATATCAGTTGCCCATACTTTATTTGGCTGATCAACAATAAAATTCTGGTCTAATATGTTGGGTACTACAATTCTATTGTCTGTCTGCTGTTTCTTAGTTTTAAATTTTCTTCTTAGCATAGCCCTCATGCCGTTCTTTCGCATGATACTTTGCACTGTTTTCAAGTTACAACTTTTACCTAAAGCTTTTAATTCAGCATGAATTTTAGGAGCTCCATATCTACATTTAGAAGCTTTGTTTGAATATCTGCTTTTATTTGCTAATTCTCTGCTGCTTATTTTTCTTGCAGCCCACTTATAGTAGCCACTAGCAGATACATTCAAAACCCTACATAATTCCTGTACTTTATAACGTTTGCTGTGCTCTTTTATAAAAAAGTATTTTACTCTTTGTGACTGGCAAAATATCCCAGGGCTTTTTTTAAAATGTCTCTTTCCCTTGTTACTCTTGCTAACTCTCTTTGTAAATCAAATCTCTCTTTGTTGTAAGGAGATATGTTGCTTCTACCTGGAAATGCATCTGCTGCCGACTTTTTTTCGTTGTGTTTCTTCATCCATTTTCCTAATAAACTATCCTTTATTCCTAGATCCCTTGCTACTTTTTTGTAATTGTTTGACCTGCCTTTCTTTGTTCATTTGCCAGTTTAACAGCTTCTAATTTGAATTCTGCCGTATATTCTCTTGCCATCTCCAAAATTTTATTTTACCAGAAAAAAACTCCTTTCTCTCCACTTTTTCTGGGTAAGGTCAAATAAGGTTTAGTGATAAAAAGGTTGAACATTCCTTCAGAATTGTGTATAATTATTAATGCTTTTTAGGTACTCTTACTATGGCTCTTTCCAAGTTTCTCGATCCCAAAAATGATGTCGCCTTTCGCCGTATCTTTGGTACTGAAAAGAATAAAGATATTCTCATTCACTTTCTCAATGATATTCTGGGCTTTACTGGCAAAAATGCAATACAGGATATAGAGTTTTTAAGTACTATTCAAGACCATGATATTGCCTCTAAAAAACAAAGTATTGTTGATGTTCTTTGTAGAGATTCTTCAGGTATTCAGTACGTTTGCGAGATGCAGGTCGCTAAAACCAAAGGCTTCGAAAAACGTGCCCAATACTATGCAGCTAAAGCCTATTCAAGACAAGCTGATAAAGGTGATCAATACCAAGACCTTAAGGAAATTATCTTCATTGCTATAGCAGATTGTATCCTGTTTCCGGATAAGTCTGAGTATAAATCAAAGCATACTATTCGCGACGAAGACACTAATGAGCATGATCTAAAAGATTTTTACTTTATATTTATTGAATTGCCAAAATTTTCAAAAACCAAAGAAGATCAGCTTTCAAATATAGTCGAAAAATGGATATACTTCTTTAAGTATGCAGATGAGACTAGTGAAGAAGAGCTGGAAAAAATAATAGGTAGTGATGTAATAATTAAAAAGGCCTATGAAGAGCTAAATAGATTTAACTGGTCAGAAAAAGAATTTATTGCCTATGAACAGGAAATAAAACGTATTCTTGATGAACAGGCTGTCCTCGCTCAAAAACTTGATGATGCTACTGAAAAAGGTAGAGAAGAAGGTAGAGGAGAAGGCATCCAAATCGGTCATGAAAAAGGCAGAGCGGAAGGCAAGGAGGAAGGCATCCAAATTGGTCAAGAAAAAGGCAGAAAAGAGAGGGAAATTGAAGTTGCAAAGAATTTACTTAAAGCAGGAGTTTCTATTGATATCATAGCTCAAACTACTGGTCTTACGTTTGATGAAGTTAAAGACTTAAGCTTTTAGATGAACATCTTTGTACTAGATAAAGACCCAGCAATTGCAGCACAAATGTTATGCGATAAGCACATAGTGAAAATGCCATTAGAAACTGCTCAATTGCTTAGTAGTGTTTTTTCAATCGCATTAGAAGCGCCAAATCCTTTTGTCAGTATCACAAACCAAAATATAGAAGTTCCATATAAACTTACTCACAAAAGCCATCCTTGCTCTTTATGGGCTAGACAGTCGAAAGGGAATTTTTATTGGTTGATAGGATATGGAAAAGAATTGTGTAAAGAGTATACGTGGCGATACAAAAGAAAACATAAGTCAAAGAAAGTAATAGATTGGTGTAATAATAACAAGGATTTACTCATTTTTCAATCAGCTGATATACAAACTTTTACACAAGCACTGCCTGATCGATATAAATGCAGTAGTCCTATACAAGCCTATAGAGAGTATTACCTAAAGGAAAAGATAAGGTTTGCTAAGTGGGAAAAGGGTAGAGAAGCACCCGATTGGATAATAGGGAATCATTGCACTACGGTTATCAGCCAATAACCACAGAAGGCATCCTCATCGGACATGAAAAAAGCAGCGAAGAGGGCGAAAAACAGGTTAAAATAGCTGTGGCAAAGGAAATGCTTGCTGATAAAATGAGTATTAATACTATTGCTAGATTAACAGGATTGCCCATCAGCGAAGTTGAAAAATTGAAAAAGTAATTCAAGTATCTTAATAAATAATTAGTCTGCTAATGTTATCCTTTATCCTTAATTTATAAGGATTAGAGGCAAAGGTATGGCTAAAGGAAATAGTGCTCTATTAATATTTGACTTCGATAACACTATTACTAATGGGCACATGCATGGTACTTTTTCTGGTAGACATTTCGGAGTTAAAAAAAGTGATTATAATTCTGCTGCGGAAGGTGCAGTGACTGATGCCGATATAAGAAAATTTATAGAGAATGAAGGTGGAATAAAAAATAAAGAGAAGCTAAAATCTGTATTACAATCTGCACTTTCAAAGGGAATAGAAGTGAGTATTGCATCATTCACAGGATATCCAAATGCTGTGAAAAGGGTTGTAGAGAATCATTTGGGTTTATCTAAAGAACAAGCAGACAGTGTTTCTATATTTGGCCACTTTCCAAAACATTATGATTCCCAGCTACCAGAGAGAGGGCAGCGAGACCAATTCGGAAAAAATTTGCATATCTGTAAAGCAATTGTAAAGTACAAAGATAAAAATGGTAGGTTGCCAAAAACTGTCATGCTGGTTGATGATGATAAAACAAATATTGAAAAGATTAATGAGTTTGTTGAATCAGTGAGCAAAAGAGAGGGATGGCTTAAAGAAAATGGGCTGAGTATTGAAGATATAAACAATATTAAATTTAAAGGTGTTCAAGTACCTCAACAAGACAAAGATGCTCATTATCTAGAAAGAGTACAGAAGTTTGTCAATGCTAACTTAGTACAAGAACCAATTTATGAAAATTTGAAGAAAGAAGAACCTATATACCAAAATCTTCAAGATATTCAGAAACAATTATCTGAAGAAAAGCCACCACAATTACCTCCTAAACCTGGGTTTAATACAAAAACCGCACCTCCATTGCCTCCTAAACCTGAGAATTCAAAAGCTAAACCAGCATTACCTCCTAAAAAAAGGAAGTTAAACAAAGTACATACTGCTAATGGTATAGCTGCCAATAGTAAAAATGAAGAACAAATATATACTCAAAACATCTCCGTACCCGTAGTAAAGGAAACCGAAGTACATTTTCCTTACTGTAGCGAACTAGATCTAGAAACTCCTATGCAAAGACTGCGTGACTCTTTTCAAAAAGATGATTTGCCTGAAAAGGCAATACATGCCATTTACAGTTTATTTAAAGAGAAAGTAATTAAGGCAATAAGAGAACGAGGCGATAAGGTAATTGAAAAAAGTGAAGTTCTTTATATTGAATCACGTCATCGTCACAACAATGATAGCAAAATAACCGATGACTCTTTCACTCAAATTATGGCCCAAATTCAGGAAAAAAAGAAAGAAATCAAAGATCTTGCTAGTAATTATCAAGGAGAAGATATCCAGCTAAGGAAAGAAATATCAGAGTTATTAAATGTTAATCTGCAAAAGACGAATATAAACCCAAATTACGTAACCATAAACCAGTCTGAAGTGCAACAAGCAGCGGCATCTCCTAGAAGGTATATAAAAATTACACAAGATAAAAATACAGGAAATAATACTTCTGAAAGAGATAAAAGAGAAAAAGGTAAAAAAACTGATTTAGGAAGCACAATATTAAATTATATACCATATAGAAACAATAATAGAACTGAAAACTCTACTGCCACAAAGGAAAATAGAACAGAAAGTGCAAAACCAAGTCTCACAAAGGAATTCTTGTTTAGAGCTGGTACTATTGTAATTGGTTTCCTTTTTGGAGGGCCAATTGGTGTTGCAATTGCTTTAGGTATTGTAGCTGTTGATATCATATCAAATGGTAAACTTATTCAAGGGGCAGAAAAAGTACTGGGTGCAGGTTATGATGCATTAAGTGCTGTGGGGAAAAAAATGTTAAATGTAGGGAAGGCAACATTCTCAAAGATTAAGGAAGCTCAAGGGCTGTCAAAAAGAGATATAGAAGTAAGTGACCCTAACCATTCTCCCAAATCTCATGTAACTTCGGAAGGTGAACCAAAAGCTAAAAGTCAAGTCAAAGCTGAGTTAAAAAGAAGAGCAAGTGCAGCAAGTCAAGAGCAAAGTGCTAAGCAGCAGATAAGCCAGTATAGATAGGTAAATCCATGTTAGAGAAAGCTAACCGCACTGACAGAAAAGGTCTATTTTGCTATAAATTTACCATGAGTTTTTCTAATTACTCTCAAATGAATTAGTGTTAATTTAATATAAAATATTACTAAAAACTTAAATTACATAACCATCTCCAACAACCAAAACCAGCAAGCTTTTATTCTGACATCTGCTGTGAATATGCATAAAGATTCAAAACTTTCAATGATCTTACCTCTTATGAATTCAGTAGCTTGGATTTGAACGGAGACTGAACAGACAGCTCAGCAAGGTTTATAGCGCTCAGAAAGGATGAAACTTCTTCTTCAAATATATCATCGTATTCTGCGCTTAATCCACTACTGTACTCTCCTTTTTCAATTTTATTTAGAATCTTTTTATTATCAAGAAAAGCAATATTACTTAACTTGCCTTCAATAGCCTGATTAACCAAGTTAAAACTATGAGCAAAAGTAGCAGATATTTGATGAGCTGTTAATCCTTCAAGAAAGCCCATATTAGGATCAAAAAAATTAAACTTGCCTTCTTCAGCTTTATAAATCATCATAGAATGTCCAGTGTTGTGTTGCATTCCTCTTATTGCCTCTTTTCCCACAGGAGACAGGATTAATTTTAGTCTTCCTGTGAATGATTTTTTTGAAGATTTTCTCCTGATATCACTTATCCAAATTTTTCTTTCATCTCCGATTTTCATCTCATTCAAAGCTTTATCCAATGTTTCTTTGTCTATATTACGTTGTTCAGTATTAGTATCTCTCTTGAGAATATTTTTGTGATTTTTCACTGATAAAGTACTAAAGGGAATATGCTTAAATAGCTCATAAGTTTGGATCTGTATACAATTTGCAAAATTTATTAAGATTTTAGCGCTTCCTGTTGTTGGTGTTGACTTTAATTTATTTAATAATGCTATAGATTTCTCACTTCGTTTTCCTTTCTCTTTTTCGTACTGCTCTGAATTAGGGTTAAAATTAGGGAACACACGAAGAAAGTTTTTTTGACTTGAAACAGCGTTTGTCAAAGTAGCAATATTACACAAGTACTCACATACTCCTTTATCAATCGAAGAACCAATTTTATTAGCTAGCCCTTTATAAATTTCTTTATTGGTTATATGCCTGCCTTTTATTAAATCATCCTGGCTAAAGTAAACTGCTTCTCTTATTTTGCTAAAATCATAATTCATATCTTTTAAACTTAGTCCATAACATTGTTGAAAGTCTTCTTCGATTGAACGAATAGAGCTTATCATTTCTTGTACATAATCTATGATTTTGGCCGTCTCAACTGTGCTTTGAGGGTAAAACTTTGGGATATGCTTTTCTTGAACAAACTTTCTTAACGCGACATCACTTTTGTCATCTAAGCTGAAAAATTCCTTAGCTACATAATTTTTCATTTCATCATTACTCATACTACCAATCTCACTCAAATGCTGCATAATCAACAGTAACATCAACATATTAAAATATACTAAAGTGACTTTCTTGGAAAAAGTAGAGAGAAATCTCGAAAAACTCAATTTTAAAGCTAACCATGTACCGAATAGGTATATTTTTATTATGAATCTTCCATTATTTTTCTTCTATTGCCAAACAGATTATTATTGATTTCTTAGTTAATTATATTGAAATATCAAATAATATAACTACCTTCGGCAACGCAAAACCACCGGCCGCGAGAACAGTTCGTCTTGGAATCAGTTGGTCTCTTGTGCTACTCTAAATCTGTGTTCATTGTATTATAGTCCAATAAATCCGATGTAGATAAAGAAACATCAGATTGTGAGTTAGATTCATCAGCTTCTTCTCCGTTAGACCCAAACAACCATGAAAAAAACCCACCGAAAAATGATATAATTAATGAAAAAGGCTTTGTAATTATACTAAATAAATTACCCAAAAAGGAGCTCGGCTGTTCTTCCTCCTCTGAATTTCCTTCATTACTATCTGGGTGTAATTGAACATTATCTCTTTGCCCTTCCTTCTGTTGCGTACCAGCATCTTTCTGTAGACCTTCTGCATTACCTGAAGAGCTCGGCTGTTCTTCTGTTTGTGTGGGCTCTTTGGAAGCAGGCTCCACACTTGTTCCTTTTCCCTCACCATTCACCCACTGAATTAACATCATCAGGTTTTTCTGCATTTTTCAATATAGTTCTTATGTCCTCATCAGTAGTTAAATCTAAAGGAGTCTTACGATCTCTATTCTCTGCATTAACATTTACCCCTTTGGCCAATAGAGCTTGCACTACATGCCTATGACCACTTTGAGCAGCGAAGTGTAAAGGAGTATCTTTTCTATCATTTTGTGCATTAACATTTGCCCCTTTTTCTAATAGACCTTCTACTGCTCTCAACTTGCCAAGCCTAGCAGCCAGATGTAGAGAACTCTTGCAATATTCAGCTTCTTTTTTTCGTAATAGATCTAATACACCGCGGTCTCGAGAATAATCGCCATTATCAATATGTGCTCCATTATCTAATAGAATTTCGACTATACTAAAATGTTTATTTTTAGCAGCCCAGTATAAAGGGGTAAAAAAATCTTCAACTACATTAACATCTGCTCCTTCACTTACTAGATGTTTTACTTCACTAATGTTGCCACTTTTAACAGCCTCAAGTAAAGCAGCATTTCTTAATAGAGCTTTTATTTCTTCGTTAGTAGTTAAATTGAAAGGAGTATCTCCGTGGTGATCTTTTACGCTAATATCTGCTCTATTACTTAACAGAACTTTTACTAACTCTGCGTGATTTTCTTTAGCAGCCAAATGTAAAGGAGCCTTTCCATTTTTATCTTGTGCATTAACGTTAACTTTTGTCTCTAATAGAATTTGTGTTACCTCTATACTGCCTGCGTTGACAGCCCAATGTAAAGGAATCCTTCCATAGTCATCTTTTGCGTTAACATCTGCTCCTGCTTTTATTAAAGCATTTGCTACACCCTCATTACGTTCTATGGCAGCCCAATGTAAAGGTGTTCTTCCATCTTGATCTTTTATGTTAATATCTGCTCCTGCCTTTATTAAAGCATTTGCTATATCCTCATTGTGTTTTTTGGCAGCATAATGTAAAGGTGTCCTTCCATCTTGATCTATTACATTGACGTTTACTCCTTGATTTATTAAATCGTCTACTTCCTTAACCTTAACATCTTTAATAGCTAAACACAAATCTTCTATTTCATTTTGTGTTTTTGTCAGAGCAATCATCAATGTAGTGTGACTTCCTTTGTGATCTCTATAATGAGCAAGATCTAAAGGAGTCTTTCCTGAACTATCTTTTGCATAAACATTAATTCCTCTTGCTTTTAGTAGAGCATCTACTGCTTCTTTGTTGTTCTTTTCAACAGCCAAATGTAAAGGAGTTCTCCCGAAACCATCTTTCTCGTTAACATTGATTCCATCATTTATTAGGTTCCTTACTTTATCAATTTCAGCATTTTCAATAGCTATAAATAAATCAGCATTGCTCATTCCATACTCCCTTGTAAAATCTATTGTTACAGTAAAATTACTAACGTTTTATGAATGATTTTATCAAGAAAAAGTGTTGGAAAAATTAAGAATGTTTTTTGCAAAAAGGACAAAGAGCTTTATTCTATTTGAAGTATAAAATTATCATAAATTCTTCTGTTATCTTTAAATAAATTACTATTAATTTAGTATTAAATAATATTAAAAATCTAAATAATATAACCATTTCCAGCTCTCAAGACCAAGGACGGTGAGAGCTTTTTGTTTTGGAATGGGTTGGTCCGCGCTATTACCATCAATTTTCCTCAAGAGTTACTGCAGCTACAATAAGTACGTTTATCATCACAGTGTGGCGTTAAATCCGGATAGAATGTAATTATAGCGTTACGTTCTCTTACAAATACTGATTGATATCTGCCACCTTCCATCTCATATAAGCACCCTCCGTCTTTTCCTAATTCTTTAAACGCTTTGGTTGCATAAACTAAAATATCATCAGCATGAAGGTTATATGCATATCCCTTCTCACAATTAACTTTTATATTTCCACCTCTACCTAAATATTTTACCCCCAATGTATAAACTGGCGGCTCAATATCCGTTTTATTGCATGGGGCATCATACCAAATTGCTCCTGCCCACTTATTCCCCTGAGCTTCAAGATACCTTCCAACAAAGTGCATACCTCCTAACTTGGATTTGTCTGGCTCACCACAAAAAACATATCTAAACCCTATAGTCTCTCCGTTTTCTCCTCTTCTAGCAAATTTACTTCCTTTGCCAGCAAACCAAATTTGAGTTAGCTCGTCTTTAAATAGCCCTAGGTCCGCATTCGGTGTAATCACTTGATGATCAAGCTTATCATATATTTCTTTCACTACTCCTTGATATTCTGGAGAGTCAAGTAAAGATCTGAAATCCTTTTCGCTTGGATATGATCCCCAATCTCCGCAAATTTTCAATACATCTCTATCAAACTCAGTCAATTTCGGAGGATCAGGAATATACTTTGGTTGTGAAGGATTCGTTCTGAAAAATGGTTCAAAATCGTCCTCAACGCTCTTTTGTATATGGCTATCAGTAAAGTAATGACCATTAACATAAGAAGTCAACCCTATTATCGGTATCATCAAGCATAAGACTATTTTAGATTTTCTTGATATCATGCAATACGACTCCACAAAAAAAACAGAATACTAGCAATAACTTAACAAAGCTTAAACCAAGTGTCAAATAGTACCTCCTATCATTCAGTCAGCCAAAGCCCCTTACCAGCAGAAACATATATAAAATCTACCAGTACTGTTCTTAAGAAAATATGCTCATAATTATACTAGCTAATTGCGAAAAAGACTTTAAGTGGAAGTATATAAGTAAGATATTAACTACTAATAAAGATATACAAATATATAAAAGTTGTTCCTGTTTCTTTTGCCAGTTAGCAAAAAGCTTATCCAGTAAATCGCTGTTCTTGTTTTTTAGCTCCACCAGCCCATCAATTGCGGCATTACTGCTTTTGTTATCATTTTTCAGAGAATTAATTAGAACATCTATCATAAAAGAAAAATTACTTTTATACTCATCAAGTTCCATACTTAATCTGCTTCCAAAAATGAACTCTATCACCTTAGTAAAAATGCTCTTGAAACCCATACTATAGTATACAAAACATTTTTGTATACAGGATAAATTTAAAGTTGACAAATACTTAAATGAATATCACTGTGGCAAAAAAGGGCTCATAAATAATTGAATGTGTATAATAACGTGAGTATAATCAGTTCTGTCGCATTTATAAATCCTGGTTTATAACAATTGTAGGAAAGTAGAAAAAAAGTGATCTTAAAAAAAGCAAAGATGTTTCGCAAAATTATTGTCCTATTTCAAAGGATTTAGCTTTTCAGCAGATGTTATCTGTATATATGAAATGTTGATTCTCTTTGAGCTATCGAGATTTGGAAAAAATGATGAGTATAAGGGAAGCGAAATGCTACGTTACAAAATCAGATTTGTGCCACTAATAGATGCAGCGGTAAGGAAAAGGAGCAGTAGCTGGAGAATGCTACGCTAAATTAAACGGTAAATGGGTTCAGAGCACTGAGATAGTCTTATGTAGACTTTCTGCTGTGTGCTCGTGGAGACAAGTCTGCAGCACTTGCGTTCTTTCGTAAAGTCTTAAGAAAGAATAGTCTTCCTGAGAAAAAAGTAATTGATAAAAGCGGCAGCTGTTCTTGATTTTAAGAGCTTCCATTCCGCAAAGATCCGGCATAGAAAATATTTGTATAATTTAAAAAAGACAAACTATCGGAGCGAATGATAATATTTCTACTTTTGAGAATTTTGCTATCTACCATAACCCAGTTTTTTCTTGTACTACAATCTATAGATGCGACAGAACCCTTTTAAAAGCCATTTACATTAACTTACACATTTTTTTATCCCTCTCTTGTGTTTCTTGACTACTACAACTTGGGCTTTCTATCGCAGTAGAAGGCTCACCAGAAATCTCATGAGTGCCTTTACATGCCCCCCACTCTCCAAGAGCTTGTACCATCTTTTCCTGTCTGTGTTCAATAGCAATCCACAACGGTGTTCTCCCATCATAGTCCTCGTAATCAAGATCTGCTCCTTTGTCTTTACAAAGCTCAGCAACTTCAATCTCGCCGTGACGGGCAGCAATACATAACAAATGGCCACATAGTGCTTTATGGTTCCATTTTTTTTCCCCTGTAAGATTCTCTATTCTTCTTTCTGCACTTTCTCTATCACCTTGCTCAACATCTTGTTTAATATTTGAAAATATTACTCCCATAGATAATAAGACTGCATCTTTTTTTTCACCATGGTAGGTATAGCCCCATTGCAAAACTGCACGAGCACCTCTACTCGCTCCCCATCGTCTAAGAGATTCAGCCATTTGTACATGATTAAACCGCAAAGCAAGCCACAATGATGTTCTCCCATCATAGTCCTCGTAATCAAGATCTGCTCCTTTGTCTTTACAAATCTTAGCAACTTCAATCTTACCATTTTGGGCAGCAACATGTAATAAATAGCTATATACATCTTTAAGTTCCCATGGATTCTTTTTTACAAGATCCTCTATTTTCCTTTCCGCACTTTCTCTGTTACCTTGTTCGAAATACAAAAATATCTCTTCCCAGTATAATGACATTTTATTGTTAAGACCGCCATATATGCTGTTTGCTCCTGAGTAATCGAAAGTAGCAGGCTCTTCCCCTCTAGGACTACCATACCCAAGCAATGGATGAAAGTCCTTACGTGCTCCCCATTCTCTAAGAGATTCAGCCATTCGTACATGATTAAATCGCGAAGCAAGCCACAATGGTGTCCTCCTATACTGATCTTCACAATCAAGATCTGCTCCTTTGTCCTTACAAAACTCAGCAACTCCAATCTCACCGTGTGAGGCAGCAGCACATAACAATCTAAGTGGTGATATATGTAAAAAGTATAAGGTCAAAACAATTACATTTTGTCATCCTAATCAAGAAAAAAAGAGAGGGGCATGTTGCTATATTAATGATAATGGGGAAAGAGTTTATGAAGTAATTAGTGAATTATATGAAATGACTTTAAAGTGGTATGTTGATGGAAAAGAATGTAAAATTAATATTCACGATAATGGTCAGATAGACCTGATTGAGAGTAATGGTGTTACTAAAGAGCAGCTAGCTGCAAACAATGTGAAAATAGGAAGGCAATATGAAGCACAGCCTTTACATGAAGCATTAGCATCACAATTGCCACAAACACAATTACAACAAAGTTCTGAAGAAGTAAAATCTTGGAGCAACTTTCAACAGATGTAACAGAGAGCACAACACAAAAGCATCAAGCTCCTGCTGCTCAAATGAGTAAGTAAGAAAAAACAAAAGTAATAATTAGTATAAGTTGCTTGCACCTGCAAGTAACTTATACTCTTATAATGAGCAACATAATACTACCAAGAAATTTCTACGAGCGGCCGACCTTAACTGTAGCTGGAGAGTTATTGGGAAAAGTCCTTAAATTTTCTAACTTTAGTGGAATAATAACCGAAGTTGAAGCCTATATAGGAATGAATGACCCAGCTTGTCACGCGGCAAGAGGCTATACTAACCGAACCTCAGTAATTTTTGGTATGCCGGGGTTTTCATACGTGTATTTTATATATGGAATGTATTACTGTTTAAATATTGTAACAGAAGCAGAAGAGTTCCCAGCGGCAGTGTTAATACGGGGATTAAAGCTCATTGAACCGCTTGAAGCAAACTTAGGCGGACCAGGAATATTGTGCAAAAGATTAAACATTACAAAAGAACATAATAAACAAGACCTTACTATAAGGCACGAATTTTGTGTTTATGAATCTCACCTTAAACCAGATTATGTTTGCACTCCGAGAATCGGAATTAGTAAAGGCCAAGAGAAATTTTGGCGGTTTAAGATTTTCTAAATTTAAGATCTTGCGTAGACTATTTGCCAATCGGATAATCACCAGTGAAACAAGCATCGCAATATTGTGGTGTAGCATTGTTACGCACCTCTCCTTTAACAGCCTGATATAGTCCATCAATACTCAAGAAGGCTAGGCTATCTACTCCTATAACTTCCTTAATTTCCTCTACAGATTTATTTGCAGCAATTAAATCTTTGCACTCTGGCGTATCTATTCCATAAAAACAAGAATGCTTAATTGGTGGGCTTGAAATTTTGAGGTGAATCTCTTTTACTCCTGCATCCTTTAGCATAACTATTATATTTGTTAACGTACTACCACGGACTATACTATCATCTATTAAAATTATGTTTTTACCTTTCAAAGTGTGCTTATTAGCATTGAATTTTAATTTTATTCTAACTTTACGTACTTCAGTGGTTGGTTGTATAAAAGTTCTTCCTATGTAATGATTACGAATTATCCCCAGTTCCATAGGTAATCCTGAATGCTTTGCATATCCAATAGCTGCAGGTATTCCAGAATCAGGTATTGGTACAACCATATCTACATTGTTTTCTGGTGGGCTTTCTTCTGCAAGTATTCTTCCTATTTCTTTTCTTATATCATATATGGACCTATTCTCCATTATGCTGTCTGGTCTCGAAAAGTAAACGTATTCAAAAATACAAAAACTTGATTTTTGCTGTGGGAAAGGAAACATTGAGGCTAGCTTACTATCCGAACTGATGGTAACTAATTCGCCTGGTTCTATTTCTCTAACAAACTCTGCATTTATTATATCAAGAGCACAAGTTTCAGATGCAAGAACGTAAGAACCGTTTAACTTTCCTAAAACAAGAGGCCTGATTCCAGATGGATCACGTACTCCAATAACTACTTCTTGATTGATTGCCACAAAAGAATAAGCACCTTGTATTCGCTTTAATGCATATATAAAACTCTCTAAAAAGCTATCTTTTTCACCTCTTGCTGTCAGATGCACTACTACTTCTGTATCAATATCTGACTGAAAAACGCACTCTTGTTTAATCAATTGTTCGCGTATCGGAGAAATATTAATTAAATTACCATTATGTGCTATGGCGAAATCCCCAAATTTGCCACTTTTGCTAAACATGGGCTGCACTCCAAATTTATCACCACTTGTTGAGTATCGAACATGACCTATTGCACAATCTCCAGGTAAGGATTTCTTTATTTCATCTATATCATCAAATACGCTGCTCACTTGACCTTGAAAGTGATAAGAGTGCAGCTTATCGTTGTTACTGGTTACTACGCCAAAAGACTCTTGACCTCTATGCTGCAAAGCGTGGAGAGCAAGTATAGAGTTAAAAGCAGCACTTTGGTTGCAACTTATGCCAAATACCCCACATTCCTCACGCATTTCATCTAGCATAAAAACTATTAAGTAAAGTTTAATTTTACTTTAGCATAGGTAAAATACAAGCATTTTGTTGTTCATTTGCTTTTATTGCCAGCAATAATCCTATGCATATCAAGCTTGCGGCAGTTGTACTTCCTCCATAGGAAAGAAATGGCAGTGGATCTCCTATCACAGGCAAGAGGCCTATTGACATTCCAATGTTTATAAAAAAATGAGCGCTAAAAAAGGCGAAAATGCCGATAGATACCGACTTAGAAAAATAATTTTTCGACCTATAAGCGGTAGAGAAAATTATGCCAAGTAATGAGGTATAAAGCAAAATTAAAGCCATGCTACCTAAAAAGCCCCACTCCTCACTCAGCACTGCAAAAGCAAAATCTGTACGCTTTTCCGGCAAAAATCCAAGTTGAGTTTGACTTCCGTTAACAAAGCCCTTACCAAGCAAACCTCCTGAACCAATAGCTATCTGAGATTGCTGCGCATTATAACCTATTCCAAGTGGATCCACTGATGAATCCAAAAACGACAATATCCTTTGCTTGTGATAAGGACGTAAAAAAGGCCAAATAGCAGGTACTGCAAAAATGCCAAGCGTCCCACAAATTACTAAATGAGCTCTTTTTATTACTGCTGTGAATATAATTGATGCTCCTATAAACAACATTATCACAGCTGTGCCTAAATTAGGTTGCTTTAACACCAAGAATACAGGCAAGAAAATAATTATTACCGCCTTAAGCAATCTTTTAAATTCCATCATTTTATACACACTTTGCTTATCAAAATAACGAGCAAGTGCAAGTATTAAGCCTACTTTTGCAAATTCTGATGGTTGCAAACTAATTGATCCAATTCTTATCCACCTCGTCGCACCCATTATGTGCGAGCCAAAAAAATTTACTGCTAATAGCGAGATCGCTGCTGCTATATAAAAAAAGTAGGCGTGCTCCAAATAAAAATCTAACTCTATGAATGACATAGCTATAGCGAGTAGGAAAAAGAAGGAAAATATGACTATTTGGTGAATTGCAAATGGTACCCACTTTCCTCCAGCAGAAGAGTATTGAACAGCAATGCCAACACAAAACAGCGCTATCACGTTAATGACTAATAACCAATAAATCTTCTTCAGCCTATCCACACTTATAACCTTAAAGTATAGTAAAATATGAAACAAAGATAAAAATCAAAAAACCAACTTCTCAACTACTAACCGAATTGGAGTGCTATATATTCCAGTTACTATTGTTAAAGCTGCCATGAACAATAGACAGAAAAGCATAGGAAATGGCACATCATTAATTTTGCCTAGTGTCATTCCAGCGCTTGATGCTGCACTATTTTCAAAATACATTTTCTCTACCATCTTCCACATGTATATTAGTGCAAGAAAAGAACCGGCAGCAAAAGCTATCAGGGAAATCCACGCGCGAGATTCTATAACTGCTTTCATTATATACCATTTGCTTACAAAGCCATTTGTTAGCGGCACACCGACTAATGCTAAACTAAGTAGAATAAACGCAAGTGCTGTATAAGGCATTGATTTCTTGAGTCCCGATAAATTCTCTATTTTTGTTGTATCAAATTTGTAAGAAGTACATCCTGCAGCCATGAATAAAGATGTTTTTATTATGCTGTGGTTTACTATGTGAAGAATTGCTGCAAATACGCCTGTTTTTGAGTTAAAACTCAGTGCTAAAATTATATAACCAATTTGGCTGGCACTAGAATTAGCAAGCAGTCTTCTTATATCTTTTGCAGTTATTGCAGATATTGACCCAAATATAACAGCGCAAAGTGCGAAGATAATTATCACGTTGCTTAGTGATGGTTTAAATAAGAAGAAATTCTGATGGAAAACAGTATAGAAGATCCTAATGAAAACATATATCATCACTTTTGTCACTGTGCCTGAAAAGAATATGCTAATGAAACTTGGCGCCTCACTATATGCATTAATCAGCCACCTGCTTAATGGAAACAGTGCCATTTTAATTGAGAGACCAACAAAAATGAACAATGTGCCAAGTTTTATGATGTTGTTATCGTATAATGGAACTATTCTTTCAGCCATGTCAGACATATTGAGCGTTCCTGTCATGGAGTACAAAAGCCCAAGACCAAACAAGTAAAACGTTGCCCCTATAGTGCCACTAATTAGATATTCAAATGCTGCAACCAAGGCTTTTTTATCTCTCCCCATTGAAACTAATACATAAGAAGAAAGAGATGAAATTTCCAAAAAAACATAAAGATTGAATATGTCGTTTGTTACTAGAATCCCGAGCAGTCCGCTTAAGCACAGTAGAAATAGAGAGTAAAAACCAGTGATTTTGTTTTTGCTAATTTCTTTTTCGTTAATATAAAAGCTATAAAGCACGCTAATCAGCGCTATAAAATTCACCAAAGTTAGAATCAAGGAGTTTAACACGTCGATTCTTAACTCTATTCCATGCGGAGGAGCCCAATTTCCAAGGTGATAAGTTATAATCTCGCCTTTATATGTTTTAACGAGTAGTATCGATGAAATGATAAGAGTGATTGTTGTTGCAATAAAAGAAATAAACCAAGATACCTTGTGTTTCTTGGTAAGAAAGCAAAACATTGATGCAATTATTGGTATAATAACTTGTAAAATTGGTAATTGCATTAAATTGTTGTTAATATATCGTTAAAGTATTAGTATATATAATACTTTTTGTTTTAATACTCTTATGTTATCTAAAATTTGTAACGCAATAAAACGCCTATTACGAAGAGAAGATAAATTTGTAGGAAGGGATGAAAATGGAAATTCTTACTATGAATCAAGTAAAGGGAAAAGGTGGATTATGTATAGCAGTGTCTCTGAGCCTACAACAGTGCCTCCGGAATGGCATGTATGGCTTCACTATACTGATAATGTAGTACCAGTTAATAATAAAAAAAGAAAAGTAAAACATACTCCTAATTTAACGGGTACAAAAGATGCATACTATCCAAACCAAAAAGTGAAAAATTACTATAAAAGCTGGAGTCCTGATAACTAAAGATGCGAAGGTCAAATATACTTGAAATAACCGCTGGATTATTTGTATTGGTTTTCACTATTTTTCTGATTTTCTTTGCTATTGATAAGCTATCTTACATAAAGAAAAACTATAAGGATTGCTATAAAATATATGGTCTTTTTGCTAACGCTAACGGTATAGGAGTTGGTGATAGTGTCAAGATCTCTGGTGTGGACGTTGGAAGCATAACTGGTGTGTCACTTGACAAAGCTACCTACATAGCACGAATCGATATGTGCGTAAGCCGAGATATAAAGTTGCCAATTGATAGCTCAGCTCTGATCACTAGCAGTGGAGTTGTTGGCAGTAAATTTGTTAATATATCACCTGGATCAGATATTAAACTAATCTTGCACGGTGGTAAAATAGAGTATACTCAAGCTGAAGCAAATATGGGTGGAATAATGGACAGAATTCTTGGTATGTTTACGAAGTGAAAATAGCAGGATTCCAAGTATATCCGTTCAGGTGAAGCCTCCTGTAGTTCTAAAGTATTTAAGGAGTTTGCCTTATTTCTTGCCTTTTCTACCCCTTGCTAACCTATAATTGGGGTTTATAGTACAGCTTAACAGTTGCAGTGCATGTCTATCAATGATAAAATGAAGATTAATTTATTTCGATATTATGATTGGTTTACTGTTTGCCGTACTGTTGTTTTTTTGTGGTAGTGATGCACTTGCAAAACAGGAGCCACGTTCAATAGCTGGAGATAATCACATAAAGGTAATAAATTATAATCCACAAGCTATACATAAGTATACGGGTTTTTATGGTTATCAATCCAGCATATTGTTTGAACCAGGGGAGGTAATACAAAACCTTTCAATGGGTGATTCAACTGGTTGGCAACTCCTTCCTCAAGGTAACAGATTGTTTATTAAGCCTATAGATGATATTGCCGATACTAACGCAACTATAATTACCAATAAAAGAGTTTATTACTTTGAACTTCATGCTGAAGAAGCAACTGGACTAGATGATCCAAGATTAGCATATGAAGTAAGGTTTCTTTATCCACTATTTAACAGTGATGAGATTTACACAACAAACAACGGCGATATCTTCGAACAAGCTAGTCATACCATTATTCCTGATATAAACGATATTGAAGTGATAAAGAAGGGCTTAAATTTTAATTATTCCATCTCGCACGTTAAAGGCAGTCAGTCAATAATACCAATCAAGGTTTTTGATGATGGAAAATTTACATATCTACAATTCAATAAAATAAACTCTGATTTCCCGGCAGTTTTTATGGTTGATTCTGCAGGGTATGAGTCTTTAGTAAACTTCCGTACAGCTGACAACTACCTGATAATCGAAAGGGTGAGTTCAGTGTTTACCTTAAGGAACGGATCAAGTACAGTTTGCCTATTTAATGAAAACATGCCTTTCAAAAAAGGTAAGTGATTAAAGGCTATAATGCCCGAGATATGGGTGCAAAGTTTTTTCTATGATGTTCTGTAATTCCATAAAGGCCAATAGCGTTAAGGTGCTCTTTTGTCCCATATCCTTTATTTTTATACCAATTATATTCAGGATGCTTATTGTGCAATTCTTGCATAAGCCGATCTCTTGTAACTTTTGCAACGATTGAAGCTGCTGCAATTGATGTACTCAAATTATCACCATTTACTATGGATTTCACTTGCCATTTCACTTCAGGTGGTTGATTACCATCAACTAGCACATAATCTAATTCTAGGTCCAGGTCTATCAACGCACGTTTCATTGAAAGTTTTGTTGCTTGCAAGATATTGTATGAATTTACTTCTTCTACGCTTGCCATTCCTATACCAAATTTTGCAACGGATGTTATTTTTTCATATAGGACTTGCCTACATTGAGGAGTCAACTTTTTCGAGTCGTTGATTCCATCAATAATTGTATTTCTATCAATAAACACTACGGCTGCGGATATTACTGGACCAGCTAGCGAGCCTCTTCCAACTTCATCCACTCCTGCTATCACTCCTGATAATTTATTTTCTAATGTAAAGTCTGGGTATTTCATAGGTTTTTATAATAAGAAAGTTATAGTAAAAACTGAACAGATAATAGAAATTATCCAAAGTTTCACAACGATTACATTTTCTGACCATCCCTTCTTCTCAAAGTGATGGTGTATTGGTGCCATAAGAAAAACTCTTTTTCCTTCTCCATATTTAAACTTTGTATATTTAAAATGTGATATCTGAATAATAACAGATAGAGTCTCTATTACAAAGATTATTCCAATAACGGCAAAAAGCATTTCTCTTTTAATTAGGACGCTAGTTAATCCTAAAGCTGCACCTACCGACAAGCTACCAACATCACCCATAAATATTTTTGCTGGATGTGTGTTAAACCACAAGAAACTTAAAATAGCTCCTATAAATGCAATGCAGAATAAAGTAATATTCATATCTGCTTGAGTTATATATGCAATTAGCCCCAAAAAAGCAAAGGAAGTGATGACTTGAGTTGCAGCAAGGCCATCCAAACCATCTGTGAGATTCACAGCATTAGCAGAGCCGACAATTACAAACGCAGCAAATGGGACATATAGATAGCCAAAATCAATTATTACTCCTTTAAATAGGGACGTTTTTGTAAAACCTTCAGCAGAGTATAGCTTAAGTATAGACATACTAACCAGAGTTACAATAAACTGAATAAGTATTTTGGTTTTTGCACTTAAACCTCGATAGTGATTTGTCTTCAATTTTAAATAATCATCAATAAATCCAAGTAGAGCAAAAAATAGAGTTATCAATATCAGCAGCAAAATTTCTGGTGTTAACTGAGCCCAGAGTAAAATTGGTAATAAAGAAGAAATCAGTATTATTATTCCGCCCATAGGTGGTACATTCTTTTTTGTTATTAAATGACTTTCTGGTCCACATGATCTAATTGGTTGCCCATCTTTACTTATTTTTTTTAGAAGCTTTATAAAATAGGGAAAAAGAATAAATCCAAAAATAAATGAGGTAAAAAATACTTTTGTAGCTAAGATCATCTGCTTACTTAAATTGACTAAGTGTCATACCACCTATAGCTAATAAAGTCAACTTCTGTCATCCTATAGCCTGACCCACAACTGTACGAACATTGTGCTACCAGAAGGGCAATGCCTCTTATCCAAGTACCCTCTTCTTGTCATCCCAGTCTGGAATCCAGTTTTCCATATAATCTCATCAAAAATGTTTATTTTCTAGCTACTTTTTATACTTATCAACTCAGTAATATAGTTATAAAATAATTGTTACAATTGAATTTCTTCCTGGTTTCTGTTGTCATCATAACATTAAAAACACTTTAAGAAAGCTGCTTAGTTAAATTAACTTGGACAAGTAAATAGCAGCTTTGCAGCCTGTTCTTATGAATGAAGATAAAATGTTGTAGCCAAATGCGCTTTCAGCATTGTGCTGAATTGCAATATCTCTGTGTTCTAGCTCCTCATCGCGGAATTTACTTATAGTTTCTCTTAATTCCCCATCTTCTAAATGTGAAACTTGCTCTTTGTAGTGCTCCCCTATAACTTCTTCAACTGCAGCAGTGCAAGCCATAGCAGCTTTTTTGCCCATAATGGCAGTTGCAACGCCAAGTGATACTCCTAAAACACGCCAAACTGGCAACAAAACAGTAGGACGAACTTTTTGCTCTTTGATTTTCTCATTAAAATAGTGAAAATGCTTTTTTTCCTGCTCTTCCATTTCAATTATTTCATTGATTATAGAAGATTTTTTAAGAATAAATTTTTGACCAGAATAAATGCAAATAGCTCCATATTCCCCAGCATGATTTACTCTAATTGCCTGTTGCAAGAACTGATTGTTGCTGCACCTTAAATTATTTAGATTTCTTTCTTTCTCCACAATACACCTTACCTGATACGAACAGAGCTGCTATGAGATAAATTAAATTCCATGTTGCTAAGGAAACACCTAGAACGTAATGAGGTATGTCACAAGATGGAGAGTAATTAGGATTTAGTAGATTATTTCTGAGCTCTTCTATACTAACGTTACCACTTGCTTGCTCTGTACAACCTAAAACATCATGAAATAAGTGGAGTTCAAGGCCTACATGATAAAAAGATATTACTGCACCTATGAGGTAGCTGCAAAACATTGCATAGATTAGAATTTTGTTGTCTTTAAGCATGCATATTACTGCAAGTAACCCTGCAACATAGTAAACTACCCGCTCGTATGTACATAACTTGCATGGCAGCATGTTGAAAAAATATTCTAGCACATATGCAAAAATTAGAGCAAAAACACTTGATAGCAGAAAGATTGTAGGAATTCTCGAGTTATTACACACGACTTTAAGTAAATTATCCCTTAAAGTGTAAAGCAGAATATTCATTTTGCATAGGGATTTTTATTTTTTTTCAAAAGTAATCTGACTGGCACGCCTTCAGCAAAGAAATTTTTTCTAAGGTCATTAATTAAATAGCGTTTGTAACTTTCATCAACACTTTCAGGTATGTTACATATCAAAGAAAAAGCTGGAGGTTTAGTACCAATTTGAGCGATATACTTCATTTTAACTGCTTTGCCTTTTACAAGCGGGTGAGAGTGCCTATCTAAAGCATCAATTAGCCACTTATTCAGTTTTGCAGTGCTGACTTTCTTGTTCAAAGATTCACTCACTTCAAGACACTTATCTATCACATCGCCGCAGCGCATGCCTTTCAATGCAGAAATTGTTACAATTGGCACTTCCAAGAATAACCGAGTCACTTCCTGTTGTTTGACAAATTTTATTAACTTACTTCTGTCATCCTTACCTATTAAATCCCACTTATTTAAAACAGCAATAGTCCCTTTCCCTCCCTTAATTGCAGCTTCACCAATCGATAAATCCTGCTGCTCAATACCAACTAGGGAGTCTAACATTAAAACTACCACATGAGAGCGCTTGATTGATTCTAAGCTTTTTTCAACAAATCTTGATTCTAAGTTATCTATAATATTCGCCTTTCTGCGGATTCCTGCAGTATCAATGAGAGTAATTAGCTCCCCATTATGATCATATACAATATCTACAGAATCGCGTGTGGTGCCTGGCTCTGAACTTGTTATGAGTCTGTTTTCTGTAAGTAGGCTGTTTAAAAAAGTTGACTTGCCTACGTTTGGGCGACCGATTATCGAAATTCTTAATTTACCGGACTCATTAGAGCTCTTATTGTCATTCCAGTGCTTGACACTGGGATCCATACTATTTTTTTTCTGGATCCCAGTGTCAAGCACTGGAATGACACCGAAAGGAGGACTATTTGCACTGATATTTTCAATAACACTAGCCAACGCATCATAAAGATCAACCATACCAAGATTATGTTCGGCAGAGATATACACCGGGCCAAGAAAATCAAAAAACTGCAAATAATCAACATTTTCGGATTTATGACTCTCACATTTATTTGCTATGAGGATTACAGGTTTATTCATTTTTCTCTTTAGCCACTTTGCAAATTCTTTGTTTCGCTCATTTTGCACTTTTGCATCAACAAGAAAGAAAATGATGTTTGAATTGGATAGAGAAAATTCTATTTGTTCAATAACTTGTAGTGAAAAATTAGTTTGGTCGTTCCATCCTCCTGTATCTATAACTTTAAACTCCAAATCGCTAATTCTCCCTATTCCCTCACGTCTATCCCTTGTCACTCCTGGAATATTACTTACCACTGCCGCTTTTCTTCTCACCAATCTGTTAAAAAGGGTCGATTTTCCAGCATTTGGTAGGCCTACTATAGCGATTTTTAGCATAATTTAAGGGCATCTTCTATGTAAAGTAGATTATAACTAAAATTTTTCAATTTAACTATTGACTTTATAGATCACGCGAGCATACTACAATTAGAGTTTCTTGTTTTATTATGTCAGGTAGGGGGATATATGGTAGTTCAAGATATACAAAAGCATAATTTGACAGATGAGGGGTATATTACTCGTTCTTCTACTCCTATTAGTCGTACTCATCTTGAAGATGATGTGCTTTATACAACTTTATCACCTGAATTGCATATAACAGAAGAGAATAGTGAAGGCAGTTATTCTATAGATGAGTCTGAGGATGAAGATATACTCAATGTATCATTCAAAACGTGTCCAGATATGGATGAAGATGCACTCAGTGTATTATACGAAACGTGCCAAGGTGAACAGGATATAGAAGATGAACTTGAAGGTTCAGAAGTAATGTCGGAACTTCCATTAGATGGAACAATATATGAACAAGTTGATGAACGTATGAAAGAAAATATCTCGAATGTATTGGAAGCTATATATCAAGCTTCTAAGTTATTTATTGCTAAGCAACTGACTAGGGAACAAATGATAGAGGAATGGATAAAATCTGTAGAACTTGGAGAAAGTCAAAAGATCATGTTTGGCATGCCGGAATATATATTCTTCGAAGATTTATCAATAATAGATCATCTGATATATAGTATAGACACGCTAAAGAAGTGCGAGTTGTCCACTGATGGAAGATATCAACTAGATCTTCTTTCATCAAAAATGTCCGATCTAGTTTTAACAGGCACTTATGTGAGTGAGGAACCTTTGCAATTCTTACCACCAGATTTGATAGAAAAACGTAGCAACTATTTATCGAGCCTAAAACAAATTGTATGTGACAGCATTGAAAAAGATGGAGAAGAAAATGTGATAAAAGATGTTATAGTAGAAAGAGATAATAAACTTTATTGTATACAGTGTCCAGAAGCAAGCATTGTGACTCCTGCAAAATTCCTGAGTAATCCAGAATTTCAAAATTTAGATGGAGCATTAAAGATCGGGGAAGGAGATGATGTAATACGAATACAAGATGGAAAATATCATGATATAAAGGGCAGGTTCCAGATGACTTTTCCAATAAGCAACAGTGAAAAGATTGTAAGGACTCTATCTTCTGAAAAGGCTGACAAACCAGAAAATGCCTCAAGCTTTGGCAAAATAATAGTACATATGGATGATAAAAGTTGTGAAATCTTCTCAAAGTACCTAAAAGAGCTAGAAAAAAAACCACGTATAAGCAAGGTTGTTGAAGCTGCTAAAAGTTTTGTTGAAGAGAAAAACGGAAAACAAAGTGAGCTATTTAGTGTTCTGGAGGAAGTTAGTATATCAAAGTGTTCTCATTTTAATCACCAACGTTAAGGCTAAAGTTTTAATAATTGTTATACACATACACTATTGCATGTGGCAATAGTGTATGTGTATAGTAGTAGAGTTTGTAAACTTAATAAAGTCTACAACTAATTTGAAAACTACTTTATTGTATGCAAGACTTTGAAATACTAGAAAATCTAAAAACCAAAGCACTAGAAGCTGAAAAAGGAGGCGGTTCTAACAGAATCAATAGACAACACGAAAAAGGGAAATTAACTGCTAGAGAAAGGCTCAGTGTATTACTCGATGAAGATTCGTTTGAGGAATACGATAAATTCGTGAAGCATCACGCAGCTGATTTTGGCATGCAAAATGCTAATTTTTTAGGTGATGGAGTAGTGATTGGTCATGGTACTATTTATAGCAGAAAAGTTTTCGTTTACTCGCAAGATTTTACTGTCTTTGGTGGGTCACTTGGTGCGTCACATGCAAAAAAAATATGCAAAATCATGGATATGGCAATTAATGCTAGAGTTCCTGTCATTGGGCTAAATGACTCTGGTGGAGCCAGAATTCAGGAGGGAGTAAATTCTCTTGCTGGTTATGGAGAAATTTTTCAAAGAAACGTAAATGCATCGGGTGTTATACCACAAATCTCTTTAATCATGGGGCCATGTGCTGGTGGTGCAGTTTATTCCCCAGCATTAACTGACTTTACTTTCATGGTGAAAAACAGTTCATATATGTTTATAACCGGACCAGATGTAGTAAAAAAGGTTACCTACGAAGATGTAAGTTTCGAAGACCTTGGTGGAGCAAAAATTCATACAAGCAAAACAGGAGTAGCGGATTTTGCATTCAATAATGATGTTGAAATGCTGCTAAAAATGCGTGAATTCTTTACTTTCTTACCAGCAAATAATCAAGAATCACCGAAACCTAAATCAACCTGTGATTCAGTTAATGATATTGATGAATCTTTAAATACTCTGATTCCTAGTAATCCTAATACTCCTTATGATATGTATGAACTTATTAAAAAGGTGTGCGATGAGAAGAAATTCTTTGAACTAAAACCTGATTTTGCTCGTAATATTATAATTGGTTTTAGTAGGATTGGAGGAAACACTGTTGGTATTGTTGCAAATCAACCTATGCACCTTGCAGGATGTTTGGATATTGATTCTTCAAGAAAAGCTGCAAGGTTTGTGAGGTTTTGTGACGCATTTAACATTCCGATCATCACACTTATCGATATTCCAGGATTTCTGCCGGGTACAAATCAAGAATACAATAATATAATACAACACGGAGCGAAACTGCTTTACGCTTACGCTGAAGCAACCGTGCCGAAAATTAGTTTGATCACCAGAAAAGCGTATGGTGGTGCGTACATTGTTATGAATTCAAAGCATCTAAAAGGTGACATAAATTATGCTTGGCCAACTGCTGAAATAGCTGTAATGGGCCCTGAAAGTGCAGTTGAAATTATATTTAGGCATGAAAAAGACCAGCAAACATTAATCAAAGAATATAAAGAGAAATTTGCTAATCCATTTTTTGCTGCATCACATGGATACATTGATGACATTATAGTGCCAAGTAAAACAAGGCATCACTTTCACAAAGCATTAGAGCTACTCAAAAACAAGAAAGTAGAAAGGATATGGAAAAAGCATGATAATCTTCCTTTGTAACTTTCTTTTAAGCCTTGCTTGCAAGTTATGCAATATTGTAAGAGTGTGCCGTTACCAAGATTCGAACTTGGGACCTCGTCATTACCAATGACGTACTCTACCACCTGAGCTACAACGGCAAGTTTATATATTATGATAATGAATAACACAAAAAGGAATAAGGAAAAAGAAGAAGAGAGAAGAAGATTGGCAAAAGCTTTAAAGCAAAATATTGTAAAAAGAAAAAAACAGCAACAGAGTAGACAAGATGCCAGAACTACCGGAAGTGGAAGTAATCTCTAACTTTTTGCTTGATAAAATCAAAAACAAGCAAATTAGCAATGTTACAGTCAATAATTGGAATTTACGTGTACCAATAACAAAAAATATTGATGATTTGCTAAAGGGCAAAGTTATAAACGATATCAAGCGTAGAGGTAAGTATATAATCTGGAATACAGATGATAGTATGGCTGTCATCATACATCTTGGCATGAGCGGAAAGCTTATATATGCTCAAGTACGGAATAAGCACGATCACGTGGTATTTTTATTTTCCGATAATACTTCAATAATCTTTAATGATCCAAGAAGATTTGGACTAGTTATTATTTTAAGCAAAGAACAAGAAATAAATTTTTTTGACGGTTTCGGAATAGAGCCCCTCACGGATGAATTCAGTGGAGACTATTTACAGGAGTTACTGAAAAACAAAAAAGTGAATATCAAATCAGCATTAATGGATAATAAATTAATAGTTGGCGTAGGCAATATATATGCTTCTGAAAGTTTGTTTAGAGCCCGCATATCACCACTCAGGTCAGCAAAAGACTTGACCTATAGAGAGTGCGAAAAACTTGCTGCTGAAATAAAAAATACTCTGAGTGATGCAATTGCTGCAGGCGGTTCAACACTGAAAGATTATGCACAGCCATCTGGATCTGCTGGATACTTTCAAAATAACTTTTACGTATATGGTAAAGTTCAAAAACCTTGCAAGATCTGCAACAATATCATAACACTTATACGACAAAATGGCCGTAGCACTTATTTTTGCAATGCGTGCCAGAATTAAGATTTTATTTTTAGATATGACATTCTCACCTGAAAAAGATCCGTTTGATTTGTTTTCAAAGTGGTATAAAGCAGTACTTAATTCTTCATCAACTGCAATGACGCTAGCAACTTGTAGCAAAGACTGCATTCCATCTGCAAGAGTAGTATTACTAAAGGAATATAGTAAAGAAGGTTTTGTGTTTTTCACTAACGTAAACAGTAAAAAAGGGAAAGAATTGACTGAGAACCCCAAAGCTGCGTTAGTGTTTCATTGGATAGAATTTGCTAGGCAAGTACGAATTGAAGGAGATGTTAAACTTCTAAACGATGAAAGAACTGACGAATACTTCTCTTCTCGAGCGCGCGATAGTCAAATTAGCGCATGGTGCTCAAAACAATCGAGCGTTCTGAAAAATTGGCAAGATTTTGAGCAAGCCATCAAATTGAAGGAGAAGGAATTTTACAACACACAAGTTCCTCGTCCTAACTTTTGGGTGGGATTTTGCGTAGTCCCAAAAGTAATTGAATTTTGGCAAGAAGGTGAATATAGGAGACACACTAGGTTTAGATATACTCTTATTGAAGAAAGCAATTGGAAAGTGGAACAATTATATCCCTAACGTTATTGCAGTTGCTTCTTGATTTACCATTGAGAATTTAGGCTCAAATCACAATGCCCGTAAAGCTGCGACCCTAGAGCTACTATCTCTCACCCACTGCAGATATTGCACGGTACTATCCACTTGGTCGTCGTGGCGAGCTTCCGGAAACATAAAAATTTCATACTCAAAATCGTTGAGCCATACTGCTTGGTGTGGCAGAAAAACCTTACCAGACTCTATTATTGGCACAATTTGGTAGAATCGAGCAAGTTTACCGCTATGTGGCACTATCTCGATAACAGGTAGGTCACTATTTGTCTTTAGCTCTTGAATCAATTGCTGACCACTCGTTTTTGCTTCGATTAAAATTGCATGTGGCTTCCACCTTACAGCTAGTGACAGAACTTGTTCTTTAAGTTTTGGATACTCAAGCTTTGCACGATATACATCAAGTAAATAGAATTTATTATCCGCTTTTGCCCAGGTGGTACAAACGCTAAAGCCGCTAGAATCGCTTATTGAAACCGCAGTGTCCCAACTTTGTGTTACATGCGAGAGATTATCAGGAACATTTTTATAGTGCTTCAGCCACTCTCGTTTAATTATACCACTTGAAAGTGGCAGAGGGTTTTGTTGATATTGGGCAGCAAAAGCGTAACTACCAAGCTCAGCCTTTATCATCTCAATTTCTTCTTTTCCTTCATCTAGATGGTATAGCAACTGACCTTCTTCTCTTGAATATAATATTATTGCAGGTGCAGCGCATGATGATGTTGTATTATATAACCGTCTGGTTGCAGTTACTTGGACGACAGGAACAGAAAGCGCTGGCTTTTTGATTGAATAAATGATCTCCTTATTTTCAGATATCATCGGTAAACAAATATGGTGCCATATGTTTTTTGGTTTGGAGAGAAGGTGTCCGGTTAAGTCCTCCTGGTGTAGCCTGTGCATCACAAGAACAATTATCCCTTTTTTTCTATCGTTGAGCCTGGTTACTAGAGTCTGGTCAAACCAGTTTGTGGCACGCTTTCTAAACGTTTCACTCAAAGCTTGAGCGGGACTTAGTGGATCATCCACAATGATGAAATCACCACCTTCACCGGTTAATGTTCCTCCAACTGATGTTGCAATTCTGTATCCTCTCTGCACTGTTTGAAATTTGTATTTGGTGTTCTGGTCTTTGGATAGTTCTACTTCTGGAAATAGCTTTTTATACCAACCAGATTGCATTACGCACCTTGTATCGAGCGAGTGTTTTTCGCTGAGCAGCCGAGAGTAACTTGCAACTATTATTCTTGCAGTTGGCTGATTTCCCAGTATCCACGCGGGCCACGCAACGCTTATGCACATGGACTTCATTGAACGCGGAGGCATATTGAATATTATTCGCCTCACTTCACCAGCGCTCACCGCTTCCAGCCTATCTGCTATGACTTTTATATACTGATAATCATTATACTCACACCCCGGCACTACCGTTTGAAAGCATAACTCAATGAATTTTAGAAAGTTCATGATATAATGTTGAAAGATATCATCCGAGTAGCTTGACTACTTGGATCCAGGAAAAAGAATGATGTCATGAAAGTAGCTTTCCATCCAAGAGAGTGTCATCCCAGTGCCCTGACTACTTGGATCCAGCTTCTATGCAACTTAATTAAAAACGTTTGTTTTAGCGTAAGACAACTACCTTTAGCTCATCAGCTCAGTTATAAGCAAAATTTCTGGATTCCAGACAGGAATGACACCCTACTTAACCGTCATCCCGCAGCGGTATCTCTTAGCCGCTAACACATAGCGGAATGACGAAGATGCCACTGCGAACCGTCATACCGCCGCGGCGCTAACAAGAGATCCCGCTGCGGGATGACAGCAATCCTACGTCATACCGTGATTTATTCACGGTATCTCTTAGCCGCTAACAAGTAGCGGGATGACGAATTGCTTAACCGTCATACCGCCACGAACCGTCATACCGCGATTCATTCGCGGTATCTCATCCGCTAACAAGAGATCCCGCTGCGGGATGACGAATTGCTTAACCGTCATACCGCCACGAACCGTCGTTCCACCGCAGACCGTCATACCGCGATTCATTCGCGGTATCTCATCCGCTAACACGTAGCGGGATACTTGACCTTTACAGGGATGACGGTTGTCGTTTAGCTATAAATGTTTAAGAAATTTACCAAACGAAAAAAAAGGCAAAAGAAGCCCTGGTCATTGTCTATTTTCAGTATTTGGCGTTTTTTAAATCTTAAACACTGCAATTTAGCTGCTTTTAAACGCAACTCACCTTAGTTTAAATGTTTAAGAAATTTACTAAGCAGAAAAAAAGGCAAAAGAAACCCCGCGTTAGCTAGTTGTCACTCTCTAATCCTGCAAATTGGCGTACTATACTGTCTTAAACGACTTATAAGCGCGTTTCAGCTTATATAGGTAAAAACCTAGAAATGTTGTGAAGACATAAGGTGCACATAGTGCAAAAAATTAAAAATAAGACGCCAACTACGTTGTTTTCTTGCTGTTTAATCTGCACAGATGAAGATAACTGAATACCTTCACTATCATGGTAAGGGGGCTGGCGAGGTTTGTCAAGTAGATTTTATGGCCTAGCGTCACACGCTGGAATGACAATTTCGATTATTTCATACATTGACTTCGGTAAATCCAAATTATATTAGCTACATCTAACGAATTTTACACTTGCTAAGATTGCGCTATTTGAGTATCTTTAACTGAAAGAAGTTATTTTTTATCCAATATGAAAAAAGCCTTTATATTCACATCCTTAATAGCAGTTGTATTAATAGTCATTACTTTTTTGTATAAAAACAGCGGAACTGACAATTCACAAGTAGTGAATGTCTATTCATCGCGCAAAGAAGAATTAGTACGTACTTTATTTGATGAATTTACAAAAAATACAGGCATTAAAGTACGTTACATCATTGATGATTATTCTCAGCTACTTTCACGCATGGAAAATGGCGGTGAAGCTGACTTATTTTTAACTGCAGATGCAGTGAACTTAATTCTAGCAAAAAAAAGAGGGCTTTTATCTCAAGTGGATTCAGAGGTTTTAAAAAGTGTTATACCTGCAAAATTTAGAGACAGTGAAGATTATTGGTTTGGTCTTACAAAAAGAGCTAGGATATTGGTTTACAATAAAGAGTCAGTAGATCCTAAGGACTTAAGTACTTATGAAGATTTAGCAAATGAAAAATGGAAAGGAAAAATATTAGTGCGTTCTTCTACAAGTCCATATAACCGGTCATTGATTGCTTTTATGATTGCAAATAATGGTTTTGAAAAGACGAAAGAATGGGTAAGTGGAATTGTGAGTAATATGGCAAGAAAACCAAGTGGTGGTGATACTGACCAAGTTTATGCTGTAGCTGCTGGTGAAGGAGATGTTGCAATAGTAAATAGTTATTATTTTGCAAGAATTCTTTCATCAGAACATAAAAATAAAAAGAATGTTGCAGACAAACTAGGGGCTTTTTTTCCTAATCGTAACGATCATGGCGTAATGGTGAACGTTAGCGGCGCAGCAGTAACAAAAAACACAAAAAACAAAGAAAATGCTATAGCTTTGCTGGAATTTTTAGTAAGCAAACAGGCTCAAGAGCTATACGCTAAAAAAAACCAAGAATACCCTATTATTGAAGGCGTTGAAACTTCCGATATACTAAAGTCTTGGGGGAATTATTTACAAAGTGATTTGCCTCTAAGTGAACTTGAAAAACACCTCCTTGAGGCTGTTATGATAGCGGATGAGTGTAAGTGGAAGTAATCCCCAGTGCCCACTGAACACTGTGATGAAAGATTTATGCTAATATACCTTACTCTTGACTCGCTGAACTTTTTCTTCTTTCTAACTTAATTTTGACTTTACTATCTTTTTCTGTTCTTTCACCAAAACAATTGCTGCACAAGAGGTCTATTGAAAAACAATAATAAGAAAGTAGAATAGGTTCAAGTAGTTGAAAAGGAAACTATGCACAAGAGAAGGAATTTGTTAAACATCTCAGACCTTACAGTTGATGATGTAGAAAATATAACTAAGTTGGCTAACCAGTACCTTAAAAAAGAAGCTGCAAATAGTCATATCTTGGAAAATAAGACAGTAATAAATTTATTCTTTGAAGATTCAACGCGTACACTTGCGTCTTTTGAAATAGCAGCAAAAAGCCTTGGAGCAAATGTTGTAACTTTGCCAATAAGATCTTCTTCTATTAACAAGGGAGAAGATCTAAAAGACATGATCAAAACATTAAATGCAATGAATCCTGACTATATAATAATCAGGCAAAAAAATAGCGGTATTGTTAATATGCTGGCTAAGAATGTTAGCTGCTCGCTAATCAACGCAGGCGATGGAAGCAGTGAACACCCAACTCAAGCTCTTGCAGATTATCTTGTAGTCAGCAGTCATAAAAAGCAAATAAAGGATCTCAAAGTTGTGATATGTGGAGATATTCTGCACAGCAGAGTTGCAAGGTCAAATATAAGGTTGCTAAAAATGTTTGGAGCAGAGATAAGCTTGGTCGCACCACCAACTTTGATTTGTAAGCATTTTCCTGAAGTGGATTCAGTCCATTATTCATTAATTGAAGGTATAAAGGATGCTGACGTAATTATACTTTTGAGGCTACAGAAAGAGCGCATGAATAATAGTTGTTTTGTTCCTTCAGAGAAAGAATATTTTCATTTGTATGGACTTGATTCACAAAAGCTATCATACGCAAAACCAGATGGGATTGTTATGCACCCAGGGCCAATAAATAGAGGGATTGAGATTAGCAGCGATGTAGCAGATTGTGTTATTTTACAGCAAGTAGAATTTGGATTGGCAATACGTAAGGCAGTGCTGCACTATTATAGGCCTTGTTAATATTAAAAGATGCTACACAACTAATGCGAAAGAAGGGTTTTTTCATGAAATGATGAGAATGGTTTGAGAATGGCCATTAAGATGTTAAGGCCGAGGATATGGTGTGGAAGTTTTTACGAAAGCTTGAAGTCAATCAACAACCTTGCAGAACGGCAAATTAGACGGCTATCGTAAAAACAGCTTTTTCACCTGGTCGGAACGTGGAGAAAGATTTATGGGAAGAATGTTGTCGATATTTTTGACATCACGTCTCAATGGCCAAAATCCCTTCCAAAAGTTACGACTGCTTAGTTCTTTATTCATTCTCACAATCCGTGAACGGTTACTTGTTTTTAGCGTTAAGCAGCAAAATTAATAATTTGAGAATTTTCCTGAAAAAACTTATCACAAACTGGTCACAATTTTCTGTGAAAGGCAGATATAGAAAGACTAGAGTATCCACCTTAAGTTCATTGAATTTTCTTACCTTTGCTTCTTAACTTGACGCGTATGGTTTATTTAACGCTCCCTAAGTTTGCCATTGCCTGAACGGATACAATTATTTTAGCTATAAGAGCGTTTTACTTTTTACTCAGCATATCCATCATAACTGGCTTACTTTTAGTGATTCATGGAGTTAAAAAAGTCAGCATTGTTTTTTGTTAAAAGTAGTTTGTCACGTAAAAATTCCATTGCTTCAACAGGTCCCATAGGATTAAGTATTCTACGCAACACCCATATTTTATTTAGTATAGCCTTATCAACTAATAGCTCTTCCTTCCTTGTTCCGGATTTTGTAATATCAATAGCTGGAAATATACGTTTATCAGAAAGTTTTCTATCAAGTATGATCTCAGCATTTCCTGTACCTTTAAACTCTTCAAAAATAACTTCATCCATTTTTGAGCCAGTCTCTATAAGAGCTGTGGCGATTATAGTTAAAGAACCCCCATTCTCAATATTACGAGCTGCTCCAAAAAAGCGTTTTGGTCTCTGTAGTGCGTTTGAATCTACACCGCCAGTTAGAACTTTTCCAGATGAAGGAATAACAGCATTATAAGCACGTGCAAGTCTAGTAATATTGTCAAGTAGAATTACCACATCTTTTTTATGCTCAACCATTCTTTTAGCTTTCTCTATTACTATTTCAGCAAGCTGTACGTGACGGTAAGCAGGCTCATCAAACGTAGAACTTACTACCTCACCTTTTACAGAACGTATCATATCTGTTACTTCTTCAGGCCTTTCATCTATAAGCAACACTATTAATTCTATTTCAGGGTGATTTATAGCTATAGAGTTAGCCATTTGCTGAAGCAATACAGTTTTTCCTGTGCGAGGTGGAGCAACTACTAACGCTCTTTGCCCTTTTCCAAGAGGAGCTACTATATCTATAGCACGCATGCTTAAGCCTTTTTTATCATCACCACTATTACACTCAAGTACTATGCTTTCCTCAGGATAAAGAGGAAGCAAATTATCAAAATGGACGTACTTTCTTAATTCATTGACTTCAGTAGAGTTTATACTTTGAACCTTAGTTAAAGTAAAATATCTTTCTTTATCACCAGGTGGCCTTATTTCTCCACATGCCATATCTCCTGTACGTAAATTAAACTTCTTTATTTGCCCGTTAGAAATATAAACATCATCGGTACTTGGAGCATAATTTGCACTTGCTGAACGTAAGAAACCGAAACCATCAGGCAATATTTCCACTATTCCACTCCCTGTGGTTATGCCTCCTTCTTCGCTCATTTTCTTCATTAAACTGAATATCATTTCCTGCTTTAGCATTCTACCATTGCTTTTACCGTTAGTTGAAATTTTTCTTTCTTCAGCTAACTCTAACAATTCTTCTGCTGTTTTCTCTTTTAATTCGCTCAGATCTAATGTTTTTCTGTTTTTCTCAGTACCTTCATTGACCATCTGTTTTACTGTATCGTTATTGTGAATTTGCTCACTTTTTTCAGGTTGAGCTGTAACCTTTCCTTTTGCCAAAACATCTTCATTGATTGTTGTCATAATCCTCCAAAAATTTTAATTGATGCTTACTAACCTAAAATGTGACTATAAGATAATAAATTAGGCTGAACTAGTTTTAGTGCGTATTAAGCTTAATTATCATTAAACCCCGTACTTTACTTACATTATACTAATAAACACTAGCAAGTCAAGTTAATTTAATGTTAACAAAGCACAAAAATTTAAGGATTTTCAATAGCTATTCTTTATATTTTTTAACCTTTCTTGCTTCTCTTCTTCTACTTTTGCTTTTTCCACTTCTGCTTCTAAATTTTCTTGACTACATAAGCCAAGTAGTACAGGATCTTGGGGTTTTATATTTTGCATGTTATGATGAGATCCATCTCTTACCTGCTCAACTGTGTAATTTGTTGTACTAATTAATTTAGCTATAACGTTATTGTCTAAGATAGGAAATTTTTTTACTAAATAATAAATCGCATCAGGTTTATCTCTACGCCTTGCCGTAGAGGTAAAGCCAAAAATGCTACCAATCGCTTTACTCCTTTTTTTTATATTTTTTATAATCAAATTTGGTACACGGTTTGAATTTTTTTTGCAATCATCGATTTCTTTTTCAGTAATTACCCCAGAAATAATAGGGTTATATTTTTCAACTTCTATTTCCTCATCAGCTATGTCTTGTACTTCTTCAAGGGCCAACCTACAGCATTGTGCTATTTGATTAAAAGTTAAACCAGTGTTGTCTACTAACCAAGCAGCTATTTGCATTAGAAACTGTTTATTTCTATCGTTATTGCCCTTAGAAGATTCCATTGACATCAAAAAAGCATCTCCCATTTAAAGTATCCCTTACTGTTATACAGAGCTAAAATATAAGCTATTAAAACTAAAAAAGCATTAATTTTGTCATTCAATAACTTTTTGTTTGTCACTTCCCACCTCTTAAGTTAATTAAATGCGCTTACGTTTAAGCATATTTCAAACGATTCAAAAAAATATTTTCCCTTCTTAAGGTATAGTATAACTCAGTCAAACATATGTTTCTATTTAAGAAAAGAGTTAAATTTTAAGTTAATATATTGTAATATTATATATATTAGCTAATAAAGCAACAGGTTTACAAGAATTAAATTATCACTATTCTATAATTAACCATTAATTAACTGAGTTTAAAATGAATGTTAAAAATTTTTTCACTAAAGTAACCGTTGTCCTTTTAGCTTGCTTGTTAGTCTTCATGGGAATTGGCAACCTTTTATCAGGTGATGATGAAAAAGAAGAGGTAGCTAGGGTTGGAAAAGAAGTTATAACGTCAGATGAGTATAAATCACTATATCAAAATTATGAAAGGCGAATTTCTGGATCTGATGCGAGTAGAGAACAAGTAAAAAAGCTGAAATATGATTTGCTTAACGCACTTATAGAGCAAAAACTATTGTTTAACCTAATTAGTGAGCTGGGGTTGACAGTTGGAGAAGAGTCTATAAAAAACCATATTAAAAATACCAAATACTTTCAAAATGATAAAGGCGAATTTGACAAAAATAAATTCCATGAAACGCTAAATGACCTGCATATGACAGAGAAAGAGTATATAGCAAAGCTAGAGAAAGTTCTGCCTGCAATGATGTTCATGACTTCGTTATTTAAAGATAATTATCCGGTAACTTTTGGCGAGAGAGTTGATGAGCAGATATACAAAAGTCGCTACCAAACTAGAGTGGTTGATATTGTTAAAATAACTGAAGATGCAGTTACAAACATTCCTGAACCAGATGATCAAGCCTTACTTGATTTGTACGAAAGAAATAAATCCCATTTTTATTATCCTGAGTATCGAACTGCGCAATATATTTCCCTAGGCCAAAAGTATTTTGAAGATCAAATCAAGATCTCAAATGAAGAAGTTGATGGTATAATAGAACAACAGGAACTAAAAGATCAAAGAGATGTATTCAATGTAATATTTTCTACCAAAGAAGAAGCTGAGACAGCAAGAAGAGCATTTGAGGAGGGTAAAACAAGCTTTGAACAGATAGTAGGAGAGTTTGGCAAAGCAAAACTTGAGGAAACTAGAGTAAATAATATAACTAAGGATTTTTTACCAGAAGACGTGAGAGAGAAGGTGTTTGCTCTTAAAGTAGGTGAGGTAAGTGAAGTTTTAGCAAGCAGTTTTGGTTGGCACATAATAAAAGTGGAAAGTGCGCATCAAATCTCTGATGAAGACTTAGTTGATTTAAAAAAAGACATAAAGTCAGTTCTAACTAACCAAAAGTCTTTTGAAAGAGTCAATGATTTCATAAACCAAGTGAACTATAAGATATACAATGGTTCAGCAATTGAAGAAATATTGAGTGAATATAGTTTACCTATACAAACTATTGGTCCAGTAGATGCGAGTGGAAAAGATCAAAGCGGTAATAACGTAGGAAATTCTAGTGATTTGATTTCTTTCATTTTTTCGCGAGAAAAGGATCAGAAAGGTTATTTCAAGGGCGTTGGGGACGCTGTTGTTAGTGTAAAAATCATTGATATCGTTCCACCCAAATTGCAAAGTTTTGAAGAAGGCAGGGCATTAGCGGTAGAGCTTTGGCGTAGTGAGTTTATAAAAGAAAGAATGTTTAAAATTGGGCAAGAGGTTGCAGTTCAACTAAGAGAAAAAACAGATTTGGAAGAAATTCAAGGTATGGAATTAGTTAAAGGTCAGCAGATGCACCGCAATGAACAAAACTACCCCTTTTCTTTTGTAGAAGAGATTTTCAATATGAAAACAACTGGTTCAGTGACAGACCCTATTCAATACAATAATGAAATTATAATAGGTGTTCTAAAAGAAATGCATTCATCAAATGGTAAATTAAACACGCTTGACACCGGAAAACGTGTGATGATATCGCTAAAAGAGCAATTAATTAGCTATCTGGAATCAAAGTATAAAGTCGAAGTTAATCACGCTATACTTGATGATATATAGCCGGATAAGAATTAAATCCTTATAAGAACCTGTTTAACGCATCCAGTGCTCCGAACTTGGACACAGAAACTTACTAAGTGGCTGCATGATGCAAACTAGATTCCAGTGCCCGGTGCTGCCCTACATTATTGGTAATTATATTATAAGGTGCAAAAGTTGTATAATTCATTTGACTTAAAACGGCTCATTGTATAAAATTGTGACTAATATATGAATAAAGGTTAACATGGCAGTTAAAATAAGGTTGGCAAGGTTTGGCGCAAAGAAACGCCCTTTTTATAGGGTAGTTGTAGCTGATTCACGAGCACCAAGAGATGGGCGTTTTATTGAGAAAATAGGACAATATGATCCAATGTTACCAAAAGACAATAAAAATCGTGTTGTGGTGAAGGCTGATAGATTAAAACATTGGCTAAGCGTAGGCGCGCAAGCAACTGAAAGAGTACTATGGTTCATCAAAAAAGGCATAGTAACTTTAGAAACAGAACCAAAGAAAACAGAAAAGAAGAAAGTAGAGAACGAGAAAGCACAGGGACAAGAAGCATAAGTCTCTTTAAAATGCTAAATACTGATTTAACAAATAATGGTAAATTAGACGATGTCGTATCTTCTGATTTATCAGCTATGAAGGACTTTATCTTTAAAAATATCAATGATGAAGGTGCTAAGCTTGCTACTGATATTATATCTCATCTTGTTAGTTCAGGTGGAAAAAAAATAAGGCCTAAACTATTTTTTATTATATGTAAAATGCTAAACTATTCTAGGGAGGATAGGATCAACGTTGCTGCATCGGTAGAATTTATACACAATGCTACTTTACTTCATGATGATGTGCTCGATGAAAGTGAGGCACGCCATGGAGTTAAAACAGCAAATAAGATTTGGGGGAATAAGTCAAGCATTTTAGTTGGTGATCTATTGTTGACTCTAGCATTTGGATGGCTTATAGAGTGTGGAAATTTAAATATTCTCTCTATTTTATCTAAAGCATCGCATTTACTTGTGAAGGGTGAAATAAAGCAGATGACAACACGTTTTGACCCCCACACAGTCAGGGAAAATTATTTTGATATCATTGGAGAAAAGACAGCATCTTTATTTTCTGCATGCTGTGAAGCTGCATCTACAGTATCTGGTGCAACAAATGACGAAACAGAGAGGCTAAAGAATTTTGGTTTTAATTTTGGTATGGCATTTCAAATAGTTGATGATATGCTCGATTATACTGCTAATCAAGGCACTTCTGGAAAACAAGTCGGAAAGGACTTTTTCGAAGGTAAAGTCACCTTACCTGCTATTATAGCATACGAAAAGGGCAATCCAGAAGAGCAAAAATTCTGGGAAAAATGCTTTTCTTCAGCTAGACACAATTTTGATCAAGCATTACACTATATTAATCACCATAATGCCATTCAGCTTTCTATGGAAAAAGCTAGACACTACATTAATATGGCACAAAATGATATTAGTACTTTTTCTGATTCTTTTTATAAAACTACTTTAATTGACTTTTTAAATGCGAGCATAGAAAGACGAATGTAGCTGGCGCTTGATATTTTCGAATTAATTGCTATATATTTATTAGATTCTTAAGGGTAATAATATGTCAGATAGCAGTAAAGAGAAAAAGAAGAAGTTTGCTGATATGGTAAGTAGGCAGAAAGGTGACGACCAACAAAGTGATAACCATAAGCAAACTGATGATTTAAATGAAGATCTCAATACATTAAAAGAACGTGCAGCTCAGCTTGAAGATCATTTACGCCGTGCTGTTGCAGATAATGAAAACGTCAAACGTATAATGCAAAAGCAAATTAGCGATGCAAGTGACTATGCAGTCACAAAATTTGCACGTGATATGATCGACTCGTGCGACAATTTAAAAAAAGTAATGGAAAACTTGAAAGATGGTGATCCTGTTCATGAGGGGATTAAAGTAGCTTATCAAAAAATTATAAATGATCTAAAAAAACATGGAATAGAGGAAGTAGATCCACTTGGTGAGCTTTTTGATAGTAATTTACACCAAGCTGTTGTGGAAAGAGAAGACAATGAAAAAGAGCCTGGCACCATTGTAGAAATACTACAAACTGGTTATACTATCAAAAATAGGTTGCTCCGTCCTGCAATGGTTATTCTTTCTAAGAAATCTGATGGAAATGCGTAAACGTCAGAGGTTAGATTTTTTACATAACCATTGTTTAAGCAAAAAACCAACAACCAACTTTGGTGTCATTCCAGCACGTGACGCTGGAATCCAGAAAAAAAGAAATATGGATCCCAGTGTCAGCTACTTGGATGACAGGAAACTATATAATGAGTCTGTTGTCTTTTCAGGTATCCAACCAAGTGGCGTACTACATTTAGGTAATTATCTTGGTGCAATCAAACAGTGGATAGACTTACAGGATAAATACAAATCTCTTTTTTGTATTGTCGACCTGCATGCAATCACAGCAAATAAGCTTCCCGCAAGTGAATTAAAAAGTAATGTTTTCAAAACAGCAGCAGCTTATATTGCATGTGGAATAGATCCAGAAAAGTCCATTATTTTTAATCAGTCCACGGTTAGTGGTCATGCGGAACTGGGCTGGCTGCTTGGGTGCTATACACCAATTGGTTGGCTTAATCGCATGACTCAATTTAAAGATAAAGCTAGCGGCGATAAACAAAAAGCCTCTCTTGGATTATATAGTTATCCAGTACTTATGGCTGCAGATATATTGTTGTATCAAACTAAATACGTTCCTGTTGGTGATGATCAAAAACAGCATTTGGAGCTTGCACGTGATATTGCATCAGCTTTTAACAATCATTATAAACTGGATTATTTCATCGTACCTGAAATCTTAACTTTGGATTGCACATCAAGAATAATGAGCTTAAGAGATGGTACAAGCAAGATGAGTAAATCTGACCCTTCAGAACATTCGTGCATTAACCTTGATGATACAGATGACTTAATTGTTAAAAAAATAGAAAAAGCAAAAACAGATTCAATTCTAGGCTTTGCTACTTTAGAGTGCCGACCAGAAATAAGCAATTTGATAAACATTTATTCAGTGCTTAGTAATTTAAATATGGAAAAAGTATGTGAAGAAGTGAACAAACATGACATGAAACACTTTAAAAAAGAGTTAGCTGATTTAATTATCAGTGTTATATCACCCATACGTGAGGGGATGAATGATCTTTTAAAAGACCAATTCCATTTACATGAAATATTAAAAAAAGGCACAGAGAAAGCAGCAGAAATTGCAACCCATAATATAAAAGAAATCAAGGATATTATTGGATTTGCTCAATAGACCTCTTGCATAACCTAAGGAATCAATTCAAAATTATAAAAACAGGCAATAAGGGAATGTTCAAAAAAGTGTGTCAAACCGCATTTTTAACTCAACTCAATTTTCAATCTACCAGGAAAGAAAATATCAAGTTGAGATATAGCTAAAGCCCAATTAGGATAGTCCATTTTGCTCTGCCTTTTTTGTAGCACAATATACCTGTTTGTACAAGCTAGTACTTAGTTTAGTGAATTTTCTAATCTGTCTATGCAGTTCCTCAATAGGGTTGGTAGTATAAATTAGCCTCACGCGAACTTTAATTTTTATATTCTTTCATTAGCATAATATAATTTTGTGCTGATTGTGTAATATGTTTAATTTCTTCATTTGACATTTTTTTGAAGAATTTTGCTGGCCTACCAGCCCATATTTCCCCACTTTTTATTACTTTTCCATGTGTCACTAGTGAGCCAGCAGCTACCATAGCTTCAGACTCCACAACTGCATGGTCCATCACGGTAGAGCCCATACCAATAAACGCTTTATCATGTACCGTGCATGCGTGTAACATACAAAAATGTCCCACTGTTACCATGCTGCCAATAATTGTGTCACCACCTGGGTTTCTATCCACATGAATTACCGTTCCATCTTGAATATTTGTTCCATTACCTATTTTTATTGATCCAACGTCCCCTCTGACCACACAATTAAACCAGATGCTCGCATTTCTTCCTATTTCAACCTTTCCTATGATATGCGAACCACCTGCGATGAAAGCACTTTCGTCTATTTTTGGTTCATAATCTTTGTATTTTAAAATGTGATACATATTAAGCCCAAAGTCTTATACATATGTTAATCAAAATAAGGTAGGCAGTAAATACATACTTAGATTTCAAGCTACTTGGGTGACAGATGTTCTTGACTTACGTACTTTGTACTGCTAAGATTTTTATTTTCAGCCCTATCTATAATGTCAGTAGCGGTATTAAGTATATTTCAAATAATATTGGTTGTTGTGTTAGTAATTTTAGTGCTCTTGCAGCCGCCTGGGAGTAGTTCGTTAAGTGGTTTTAGTAATGTACAACAGGGAGTCAATTCGATGATTCCAGTGAAATCTTCTGAAAACCCGCTCAGCAGAATAACGGCTATTGTTGCTGGATTGTTTATTATAAACACATTGCTATTGTCAGGATTATATTCAAAAGACGTACATAAAAAATCGATTGCAGAGAAAATTATATTAGAAAAAAAGCAAGAAAGTGAACCTACTTCTGTTCCATTTGAAAATTAATGAAGGAAGCTAAATTTATCTTTGTCACAGGTGGAGTTGTATCGTCGCTTGGTAAAGGCTTAGTTGCTTCAAGCGTTGGTGCGCTTCTTCAAGCTTATGGTTTTAAGATCCGTATCAGAAAACTTGACCCGTATCTCAACATTGATCCTGGGACAATGAACCCAACTCAGCACGGAGAGGTATTTGTTACCGAGGATGGTGCTGAAACTGATTTGGATCTTGGGCATTATGAGCGTTTTACTGGAATTAAAGCAACAAAAGATGACAATATAACAACTGGTAAGATATATCATGAGTTGTTGAAGAAAGAGAGGCGTGGTGATTATCTGGGCAAAACTGTGCAAATCATTCCTCATGTGACAGATTTAATTAAATCGTTCATTTTTAATGGTACGGAAGGTTTGGATTTTGTAATATGTGAAATAGGCGGAACTGTAGGTGATATTGAAAGCCAACCATTTTTGGAGGCTATACGCCAAGTTAACTACACATTAGGAAAACAAAGAGTTATCCTTATTCACTTAACTTTAATACCATATCTTACCGCAGCGCAAGAATTAAAGACAAAACCAACGCAGCATTCAGTTCGAGAGTTAAATTCCGCGGGGTTACAACCAGATATTATATTATGCCGCAGTGAGAAAGAAATTTTCGATAATCAGAGAGAGAAAATAGCTAAGCTTTGCAATGTTTCTTTGTCCAATGTGATACCTGCTCCTGATGTGAGTCATGTATATGAGTTACCGGTGTTGTATAGCCAATGTGGGCTTGATACGCAAATTTTGGAGCACTTTCATTTAAGTGAGCCAAAACCAAGCTTGATTGAATGGAATCAAATAGTGCATTCCATAAGGCACCCAACACAGGAAGTTACTGTGTCTATAGTGGGAAAATACACCGAATTCCCTGATGCGTATAAATCACTGGTTGAAGCATTAAATCATGGTGCGATTAGTAATA